TAACCTGCATTATGCACATGACACAACCTTACTTGCTGAAAGTGAGGAGGATTTGAAGCACTTGTTGCAGAAGATCAAGAAATGTAGCTTCAGTATGGATTGTGTCTCAATATCAAGAAAACAAAGATTCTTAACCACTGGACCAATAGGCAGTGTCATAATGAATGGAGAGGAGATTGAAACTGTCTACAGCTTCATCTTGCTTGGAACGACAATTAACACCCTTGACACGAGCAGTCAGGGAATAAGGAGATGCATTGCAATGGGAAAATATACAGTGAGAGACCCTTCCAAATTACTGAGGAGTAGTGAGGTCAGTTTGAAGACTAATGTGCATCTGATTTAGGCCATGCTCTTTCCGATTACTAGCTATGCATCTGAGACCTGGACAATGAATAAGGACAACAGAAAAATAATTGATGCTTTTGAGCTGTGGTGTTGGAGAAGAACACTGAACATCCCATGGATGGCTAAGAGAATGAATAGATATGTCCTGGACTGGGTGCAGCTGGAGTGCTCTTTGAAGGCAAGAATGATGAGGCTTTGCCTCACATACTTTGTACATATTGCTAGGAGGTGCTATTCCTTGGAGAGGGACATGATGTTGGGAGGGGTGGAGGGTCAATTAACGAGAGAAAGAATCTCAACCAAGTGGATTGACAAGGTGACTGCTGCAATGGGCTCTTGTGTGTCAGAAAGTATGAGGCTGGCTGGGGCTGGACAGGCCCAGATCTTTTGTTCATAGGGTCGCTATTAGTCATACTCGACTTGATGGCACCTAACAACAAGAGCCTTACCCTTAGGGCAATAAGAGGATAGTATATGTAGAGATGCTTGCAGAAAACTCAGGGATCCTGATTTCACACTCCACCTGGCTTCCCATAGGAACTGAGGAAGTTTAAACAGAGCCTGATTGGAGAGATCCAATGTCCTCTGTCAAGGTTGACTATACTTGTGAAGCTTTGAGACACTGCTTCTTGATAGGATCTCCACCTGTGGGCAAGCACATGTTTATCTGTGTGTGTGTTTATGTGTTGGAGGTCATTTCTGCCAGATCATAACCACCCTATTCTTTTTTTTTTAAAATAATTTTAATGAACATTTACTGAGATTTTGGATTTCCATTCATTCATTGCTGCACTTCTCTCCCCGCCCATCCCTCCCCCCCCCCCTCCCCCGAGTTCGCTCCTCTCTTTCAAAAGTAAAAGAAACACTCCTTCCCTGGTACATAACCCCCTCGCACCCCTCCCACCACCCCAAGTACATTCCTTCCACTATGCAAACTTAATTGTGGACTCTTATAACCAGTCTTTCCAGGAGGATTCCTGAGAGCACAGGCCAGGTGGATGAAATAGAGAGGAACAGAGGAGACATCTTAGTTTGTGGCGTGTTAGTCCTCCAAGCTAATACTACTAGGGCTAAGTGAAGACATCTTCCTGTCCCCTAACCATACTGGACACCGAGGGATATTGGGGGTAAGGAATCAGGAGAGGATAGATGTGGTTTCAGAAGCACCAGGCTTACTGCATAAATGGTTATGGCACTAAGTGGGACAGAAATGATGCTAGAGGTGGGTAGTAGAAAATGGCTTAAGTCTAATGCAGGAGAGGGAGATACAGAGGACCAGTCTCCTAGAAATGGATGAAGGAGGGAGCATGTAGACTGCAGGGTGAAAGGGAGATTGTCTTGGTGTAGGCCCAGGGCCTGAGTGAAGAGGGGAAAGCAGAGGTTGATCCCCTTAGGAAAACCTTGTCTTCCTGCACCAGGCTGTGGCGGGACTCTCCTCGACAGGTGCTTACCAAGCTTGTTCTCCTCCATTCGAGCCCACCCTGTCTTCTCTCAACCCATCTTTCACTGGATGACTCCCAAAGCATTTCACTCCTTCCTTGCCCACCCTGCCAGCTATTACTGTCCACATCTTTCTACTTGTAGAGTTTTCTATACTGCCAGGGTCCAGCTGGTCCCGAGCATTTACAACTCCAAATCCATCACTTTTAATCTGTGTCAGGAGAATTGCTGCTTTCTGCAATGCCTGGCAGACCTAGCTGCTGTGAATATCCTATGCATAGCCATCCACAGCCGTCTGCTGGGGGTGAGACAGATGAGGCAGGGTGGGGAGGCTGCCTTGGCCAATGGAGAGGAGGAGTCTGGAAACCCAGGGAGAAGCAGGAGTCTTTAGCAGGCGGGAAGAAGAGCGGGAGTATCGGTCATAGCGTCTTCTCTTTCCTCATCTCTGCAGTATCAGGACTGACTCAGATCTGACCCTCTATCTGGTTTCTAAGGCTGTAAATTACACAAGAGAAGACTGCTCATCTTTCTCCTGGTGAATTTGAACCATTAAACAGGCGAGGGCTTTGGGTTAATTGCACCACTCTCTACAAAGTATGCCCCAGAGCACCTTCATAGTGTCTACTGCAAAATATCACAACTTGCGGTGTACCATAAAGTGAGAACCAATCCATAGCTGACCCTACGGTGGGTTTTCAGAGGCAATTAATCACATAGGAGGAGACTGTTCATCTCTGGCGGAGCAGCTGGAGGCCTTAGGGATTGCAGCTCAGCTTCTTGCCACTAAGCCCCCAGAGCTCCTATATGTTGTTGTTGTTGTTACGTGCTGTCAAGTCACCTGCGACTCATAGCGACTCTATGTACAACAGCCCTAAACCCTGCTCTATCCTGTCCTATAGGTGTAAAGGATAGAAATTTATTTTCTCATTGGTACGGGGCTGAACAGGGGTCTCGGGTATTTCAACTTCTTCCTTGTCAGTAGCCTTGGTTGTTCCTTGGCATTCTTTGGCTTGTAATTGATCCTTACATGGCAACCGTTTCCCTACCCTAACCCCAACATAAATGTCTCTGTGCCTATTACGGTCTTCTAAAAACTCAGAATGGATTAGGTTTAGGATTCAGCCTAGAAGGGCATGAAGTCATTAACATAACAGAAGACAACTCTATTTGTAAACATAATCACATCCACAAGTTTAATAAAAGCCAGAAATCCCACATTTTTGAGGTGGAGGGAGTGCAATTAAATTCATGGCATGACTTTCCACATGGTATGGATGTGTGATAATTTCACTTTACGGAAGGACATTTGGGTTGTTTCCAGTATTTGGCTGTTACGATGTCTGTACCAGTTTTTAAATGCCAGTGTGGTGTAATGGGGTCTATTGTTCAAAATGGCTTCTCTAGGTCATTGCTTTTGACTTTGCCACATGGGTGGGGGTAGATCTGCAAATACAGTGTGTTATTCTATCCACAAGGGGATTGGTTAGTTTTTCCCATTCCACCTGGCTTAAACTGAGCAGGTTCAGCGGCCGAAATCTGGAGATCGTACTACCACCTAAGAAAAAGCTGCACAGAATGCCGTAGAGTCTTTGAGGCCTTCAATTCCTGCACCAGTCAGACCAGAGCAGCTGCAGCAGAGCAGAGACCAGCACTGGACAGAGCTGACCTGGGCCTGCTATCAGAGACCTTCCCCCAAGCTTGTTTCTGAGGTATGAGAGGCCTTCATTGTTGTCAGAAGCCAATGTGATGAGACTTCTTCTTGCTATAGGATTAGGAAGGAATCGGTGTGTGGAAAAGGACATCATGCTTGGTAGTTGTTTTTAGGTGACATTCAGTCGATTATGACTTACAGTGATTCTACGAGCAACAGATAGGAACTCTACCCTATTCTGTGACATCCTTTGTGTACTAGGGCTCTCAAAAGAACGGTTGGTGATTTACTTCTGGAAAAAAAAATAGCTGTTGATAATTGTACAGGGTCTTTTTAAGTCAAAATTGCCTAAAATTTTGTTGCTGTTTTGTGTTTTAAAAATTTTTCACTACTTTTCAACCTTTTTAAAAAACTCACAACTGAACTGTGGAGATACTTGGAGCGTACCTCCTTATTCTTAACTTGGGGCAGGAAGGCCTCTAGTGTTTTGCAATTAAGATCCTCCCTGTATTATTACTTATGGGGCAATAGCACCCTTTATATGCAATTAGCGATATTCCTGGGGAAGGTAAAGATATGAAGACCTTTAAATGGAAAACTGGCAACAAAAGTTTGTTGATTGAGCATCATCAGCTCATTCAGGGAGAGTGTCCAGTCTCCTATTCAACGTAGAACATTTTTACACATGAAGGAACTAAAGACTTGTTCGTTTCCTGGGACCTGTTTCCTCCTTTCCCTCTCGCCCTCAACTCTTTTTCCATCTAACATTATGGGGCCAAAAGCTGGGATCGAGAGTTTGAATCACTATCCTGAAATCGGGGAGGGGGGCGGGGAATCTCCGGTGCCACGAAGAACTTTGGGGTTCTGGACAAATCTGAACCTTGTTTACTATATCCAACACAGCTATTTATACAGATGAATTATTTTATTGTATTCAACATAGATACTTCTACAGGTGAATACTTTCAGGAGACTCTCAAAAGAAAACAGTTAAGGGGTGAGAAAGGCAGAAGTAAAAATGAGGCAGTTACTGGCTGGACAACCTTCCCGAGTCCCTAGAGGGACTCTTGTCCCTGCTCCTCTTGGGAAGGGGTTCTGAGTTGGGAGGTGAATGGACACCTGGCGGTACTGAGTCCAGGTATTCTGGGGGTCCAGGGCGGGGAGAGGGGCGCACTGGATCGGTGAGCTAATGCGGATCACTTTGGCAGCCTGAGAGGGAGAGACCTCAGCAGGAGCCAAGGTAAATCTGGCCCCGGCAAGTCACACCGTAGGTTTAAAAACTAAGGGTCCTGATTGGGGAAATCTTGATGTCTTCCACGTGCCTTGGCTCTAACACGAAGGCTTAGGGGCTGCGCACAGGGCGCGCGGGGCGGAAGGCGGCGGGGAGCTGGGGGCGGGGCACCGGCGATGACACCGACACGGGCGCCAATGGGACGTGTTCGGGGCTGGTCTTGCGGATAAAGGTTTCCGGTGGCGGTTCCCGGGCGAGGAGTGGGAGAGCCGGGGGTCCCAGGTACCCCGTAGCCCGAGTGACCCGGCTCCCCCTCGTATTGAGGCCGAGATGATGGGCTCTGAGGAGTCAGAACTGGAATTGGCGGAGAAAGAGGCCGTGGCAGTCCCGGGGCCACCCCCGGAGCCGCGCCCCTCGGAGCCCCGAGCCCCAGTGCCCGAGCCCAGACTGGACCTGACCCTGAGCCCGAGCCCGCGGCCCGAGAGCCCCGAGCCTCCGAGCGGCAGCCCGGGCCGGCGGAAGGCGCGCGCGGACCGGCGGGGCAGGGCTCGCAAAGGGAGGCAGGTGAGCTGGGGGTAAGGTGTTGGCCCCCGGCGCCCCTGCGCTCCCCCTCTTCACAGTCCTGCGCTCGGCTTCCAGGTCCGCTTCCGCCTGACCCCGGCCTCCCCGAGCCGGCCCGAGCCGCCGCCGCCCGCCGCCTCGGACGAGAAGCCGGCGGCGCCGCAGGAGCTGGAAGTCCCCACGCTGCACAGCAGCCTGGCCTTGGGCCTCGAGCTGCAGGCCGCCCGGGCGGCGGCCGAGGGCCACTTTGATGCCGCCAAGGCCGTGGAGGAACACCTGAGAAAGTCGTTCCAGACCCGCTGCGACCTGGAGGAGAGCGTGTCCGAGGGTGAGGACGCGCGCCAGGCGGGCCCCCCGGGAGCGCGGGTGGCCCCCCGGGAGCGCGGGTGATCTCCCGGGAGAGCGAGTGACGCAGGCCGCTAAGCCCGCCCCTCTCCGTTCGCAGGGCTCAACGTGCCGCGCTCCCGGCGGCTCTTCCGGGACCTGGTGAGCCTGCAGGTGCCCGAGGAGCAGGTGCTGAGCGCAGCGCTGCGGGAGAAGCTGGCGGCCCTCCCGCCGCAGCCCCGGGCCCCGCCCCCGAGGGTGAGAGCCCCCCCCGCGCCTGCGCCCTGCTCCCCCTCGCCCCGCCCCCTGTCCCCTCCCAGACGCGTAACCCCCACCTTGGGTCCCACCTTCCACAGGAGCCACCTGGGCCCGGGCCGGATATGACCATGCTCTGCGATCCAGACACTTTATTTTCCGAGACTCCGTACCTGACCCTGGACGGCCTGCCTCCCCTCCGCCTTCAGCTCCGGCCTCGCCCCGCGGAGGACACTTTCCTCATGCATCGCACCCTGCGGCGCTGGGACGCCTAGCCCGCAAGATCCCCGGACCCGCGTTTCTATTTGTGTGTTAAAACTTTTTCACTTCCAAATAAAGTGGTTTTTCTAAGGAACACTTATAGAGATTTTCCCTGACATGTCAGGGACTGGTCTACTTATGCCCTAAGAGCTGCCTTGGAAGTTGAACATTTTTGCTTTTTATGTTGATATGACAAAAGGGAAAAAACCAGTTCAAATCCGGCGTTTCAAAGCCTTCCCTTCACCGCCCGTTTGAGTGGGCAGAAAGGTCTGGCTACCAGCTGCAGCGCTGACAATCTACTCATCAGAAAAGCCTGACCCATTTCTGAAAGATCCCAGACACTGCCTATGGAGTGCAGTTCTGTTCATACACGAGGGGAATCGGCTCCGGGATAAGGGACATGGTGGTGGTTGGCTGCGAGCTTCACCACCCCACCCACACACACTCTTTCCGTTGCACCACTTTCTGATGATCTTTTTAATGTGTAGTGTACCATCAAATCGGATCTGACTTCTTCTCCAGCAGAGCATCTGGTGGATTCAAAACCACGCACCTCTGGGATTGCAGAGCAGCTTCTTGCCAGTAGGCTACCAGAGCTCCCTGTTTCTGATCGTTTTAAAGCAGAGTCCTTCCTAGCTTCAGAGTGCCCATCTCAAGGAGTCTGCAAGGCAGCTGCTTATTATACTCAATTTATCTGCCTTTAAAAGGACCTTTTCACCTGGCCAAAGAGTACTCAGTGTTTGTTAAACAATGTGCAACACTTGATGGCGCATCCTGGGTAGACAAAGCAATGGCGTCTCATGTCCTTTCTGCCTGCTGGTGGCCTCTGCACCATGTTAGCAGGGGTTCCACACCCAGTCTCGATATTCACACAGGTTCCTGAGAGTGTCACAGTTGTCAGTATAATGATGCACCCACATTGACTTTAGAGGAATCCAGGAACAGGTTCTTCTAAAGCTCTATGCTAAGACATCCAGAAAAGTTTTTAGTAAATTGCCATTTTATGGAAAACCTACCTGGCCTTAGACAGCTTGGACCAACTGTATATTATCATAGCCCCGGAGGATAAAAATCTGGGTTTGAAATTCCTGATACAGATGCAGAAAATGTGTCCACAAGAAATTTTATAGATTACATTGCAGATAAGGATGTATAGAAGCCTGCCTTTCTGACTCCAACGAGCCTCTAGAAGAAAGCCTTCTAGAGAAAGCCTTTTAGCACTGTCCACTTTATGGAGTGAGTCTTCAAATTTTCTAAGTGTTTTGCCCTTTGACAATAAATCTATAGAACAACAAAAAACAAAAACCAACACACCCAAAACAAATGTACAACATTTGATAAAGCTATTCTAGAACTGAGTCTCCAGTACAAGAAAGAGGTGGGCAGATGTTATGACTTTTAGATCTGAAGTAGCTTTTTTCTAGACCCACTTTACTGCTAACTCCCAAGACTAACCAAACCTCCCATCAAAAAAGCATGGATTCCCCACCCCACCCCCACCCCGAATGTTTCCATCAAAGTTTGTATTCTATTGCCTTTCCATTATACCTCTGAGAAATGTGTGTGGTTTTTTTTTTTTTAAGAAATGTGTCTTATAACTATTACATGAGCAGACAGGTAGCACAGGTTCAATTAGAGGTACTTTCTCATCAAACTAGAACATGCCAGACACAAGCTTGGAGGCCACTGCCTTAAACATCAAGTTTATTGTGCTGTTCTCACATTAAAAACCCAATCCCTTTTCCTAGTGGGGACAGCAGAGGGAAGGATTTTCACAGTACCTGCATGTCTCCCCGCCAAACTTTCCCCTCAAACCCTCAGTTCATCTATCCGTGGTCCACTGAAATGCAGCTAGGAAACAAGGGCTGAGGAGAAAGGGGATTCTCTCCTCGGGAGACTAGGAGGCCAGGGCTAGAGGATTTGCTATCCTCACCTCCCACAGCCTCGGAGAACAGGTCAGCAAACAGTCCATGCCATCCAGCCCAGCCGGCTGGGGGAAAGGAAAATAAATGACGGTTGTCTCCAGCACAGCTGGGCTTGCTGCTTAGGTGCCAGAGGTGTGGGGAAGAGGCCGAGGCAGCAACATAGAAGAGTCTTCTCTGCAGATCCAAGAAAGAAAACTTTGGAGCCAGAAAGGAAAGACCTTGGGATACTTTCCTCTTTCCTCAGGTCCTGAGGATAGCTTCTTCACGCTCTTTGTTCAAAAGGCCACTTAGTGGCTGGGGGAGCAGGCCTTGTGGAACAGGTACACAGGACGCTGGAAACCTGAGGGCAGAGGGTGCAATCAGTAAGGGTTGGCAGGATGCTCTAGAGCATCTGGACCACCTAAGTCAAGACCGAACTCCTTCCTTGTCCATCAACAAAACAGGTACAACTTACCTTTGGAAGTGTTGTGGGGTGTGGCCACCAGCTCGTAGCTGGAGAAGCCCACTTCTGGGGATGTCAGGTAGGAAGCAAACTGTTCTGGCTTCAGCTGGATTCGGTAGTAGTTCTTATAGATTGTTTCCTAAAACGTAAGAGACGATTTTAGCTTGCTGGTGCCAAGAGTGATGCCTGCCCAGAGAGCCTTTTCACCTCATGGTTCAGAAAGGCCCTTTCCTTTTGATAAGCTTTTTTTACCTCAAAGGCCGCAGACCTACCAAAGCCTAACTTACCGTGAGCGTCTTTCTCTTGCCATAGGATGACCAGGGCTGGGGCTCAAGGACAAGGATGCCCCCAGGACGTAGGTGCCGGTATATTCTTCGAAACATGCGCTTCAGTCCCTCATCTCCCCAGTTCAGATGTACCCACTTGGTGAGGCTGAGGCAAAGCACGACATCATACTCAGGTGTCTGGGCCTCTACCAGCTCGTCGCGATCCAGCACATAGTTACCCTGTGGGTTAGAAACAGGGATGAGGCCATGAGGGGGATTATAAGATCTGGTTTTCCCATGCAGCCCGTGTGGCAGTAAGTTCTGCAGGTGTCTTAGTTCCAAGTCACAACCCTCTGTTACTTCTCAGACTAATTCCCACATGGTATCTTATCTTTTTTTTTTTTTTTTCTTTTCTTTACATATTCTTGCCCCAGCTTCTTACTGGTGGTTAAGTGAAAAATAAATATATAAATAAATAAGGGAGCCAGAGTAATATTAAAATTGAACAAATTAGCTAACATTCAAATTAGGGTCAAACTGCAGAGAGTGAATATCAGCATTTCCTCAAGATCCTACCTGATACTTCCTCCCACCTTACAAACCTAAAGCAGAGTGACTTTTAACATTAAGAGTATGTAACCCAGGATGGGCAATCTCTTCCCTGAAAATCCACCAAAGTCCGCCATGAAGTTGCTGTTGATGCGACAGCAATGAGGTGAGTGAGGCAGAGACAAGACAAGACGCAACCCAGGCTTGAAATAAGAAACCTTCTCTAGCTGGGTTTGGCAAATTTTCAGGCCCATCTTTTCCTTTCTCCTACAGAAATTAACACTCTTAGGGAAACCGGGAAGTTGAGGTTTAACCCAACACACACGCACCTATTCCTGCAGATTGTCCCAGCAGGGTATTGCCGGGCATATCATGTGCAGCCAGAGGAAAGGGACCACATCTCTCTTCCCCTTGTTATGCGGCACCAACAGACAGGTCTTGTGCTATGTTCAACCCCACTGCTAAAATCATTGCGGCAACCTATCTTTTTATGGGTCTTTATCTCACATCTTCAGGGTGTTAAGAGGCCAGTCATTTGAAGAAGATGGGAACCATGGAAGGACAGAGGTGGAGGAAGAAAAATCCTCATTCCATTACCCAAGGTTTATTTGGTGACGACCAATGGCCAAGTCATGTGGGCTCTTGGCCTCTGATTCTTCACTGCCACTGAGTGGGAACCAACAGGCCCTTCAGAGAGTTCTCTAAGGCTTTAAGCTGCATGGGAGGAGACTGCGCCACTTTCTCCTGTGGAACTGCTGGTGGGTCTGAATCGCCAGAGAGCCTTTTGGGCTAGCAGTGCCAAAAGACTGTCACCAAGGCTCCCTAATGCAAACTATGTTCTATCTCACGGTGGCCTGCCATGGAGTCAGAACTGACTCATAGCTGACCCTCCAACAGGTTTCCAGAGGCTGTTAATTGCTTGGGAAGAGAATGCAACTTGACCAAATCCCCTAGTCAACCTTGAGAAGAGTCAAATGGCACCTAGCTACTCCGACCAGCTGTTCTGACTGGGGTCTCAACAGGTATTCCTGGACAGGAGAAAAGTGTAAAACAAAACCCAATTCTTTAAAAAAGAAAAACAAAACTGCCAGACTCCTCCTGAACCAGATGAAAACCAGAGGACTCCTGAGACTAGAGCCTTGAAATACTTTTCAAATCTTGAACTGAAACTATCCTGACACTACCTTCTAATGAAACAGTAAAATGGTATTGAGTGAATGGCATTAACTGTAAGATTGGTTCTCCACTAAAAAGCCATCTCTGGGAGACCTAAACATCAACAGTTGCTTTACAGCAAAGATATGATAAGGGGGGAGGGAAAACTAAAGTACTGGAAATGGAACTACAAGAACACAGAGAATACTGACAGGTTGTGAAGTGTTAACTGGACTTAACAATTTGGCTGCTGTCATAGGGGATCCTAACTTGTGTAAATTTTCACCAAAAACACAATTACTGGCAAGGAAAAGGGGAGGGGGAAGCCCCCAGTAAGCAGGAGCAGCAAGCCACCCAAGGAAGGCTGGATTATTGCCCAGGCAGAGTGCAGGGCTAAGAAGTCAACCATTACCTTAGGGAAGAGAACTACGCAGCCATGAGAAGGGACCCCAGGACCAAACCCCACAAAGTCAGAGATCCTGTTTCCCAGGTTATACACAGAGAGACAAACCCAGCAGCAGTGTTCACTTGCCAATTCAGCCCCTTTGAGGATCTAGTTCTCTTCACAAGGATTTAAAGCACTTAAAGGCCCTCTTACCGTGACGAAGACAACATTGTTGGGGAAGACTGATGTGTCCGCTCCATCCAGCGGTACTTGGGGTGCAGCAATGGGACCTCGGGTAGCTGTCAGCGAGGCTGGGAAGCAGCTTCTCTTTCGGACGGTGGTGGTGGTGGTCCCTTCTCCAACCTCTGCCCCTGGCTCCCCTTCAGGAGCCTGGGGTGGAAGACGCAGCTCTTCAGACAAGTAGTGTCGGATGTTCTGGCGGGCGGAGTGGATGAGCCGAGCATCGATATCCAGGCCCACCATGCGAGACGGGCCCCACTTGCAGGCAATGCTCAAGGTCAGATGGCCCACATTGCAGCCCAGATCAAGGACATCTCGGCCCCTAAACCACTCTGGCTTCAATACCCGAAGGCGGCCATCCTCACAGGAAGGATTGCGGTACCCATAGTACTTGCAATAATTCCCATACTGGAACTTGCACTGCTGCTTTTTGAAGCCTGCTGGAGGTAGAGGATGGTGGTGGTGGCGGCCACCCCCACTCCCTCGGCCTTTTTCTTTGAGACCCTGGCCTCCACCCCTGGCCTCTGACTTGCTGGAAGTCCTGCGCCGTTTGCGATGTCGAGAAGAGGAAGACGAGGGTGCAGAGGTAACTGAGGCAGCTGAAGGGACTGAAAGGGAGCCCACTGAACCCTGGAGGACAGTTGGCAGCGGAGACACCACCTCATCCCTGCAGTTGATGGCTGTGTTGAGTTCATAGGGCTGGGGGGCATCCCGGTTCTGGCCTCTATGCTGCGTGGCGCCCTCCCCATGAAGTGAGGGTGTGAGAGGGGCTGGGGGCAGCATGGAAGAGTTGTTATCATTGCCTCCAGCTGCCTGCTGCTGCTGATGGTGCTGTCCCCGATGTCTATGCCGCTTCCGACCGACCTTGAGTGGTGAAGCGAGAACTACATGGGCCTCGTCAGTGCAAGTATTGAGACTGAGTGGGTCAGTGATATCTTTGGGGATGAGGATCTCCACTGGATCACGTCCCTTGGCCGGAAGTGGGGATGACTTAGGGGTCTCCGCATTGAGTGCGCGGCTTACTTCCTCATCCAGAAGACTATTCAGGTTCAGGGGATCAAAGATATTGCCCCCCAGGAGGAAGTTGGAGGGCAACACCGAGTCACAGTCTGAATTAACTCGCCTGCGCCTCTTGAAGGCCGGATGCTTGAAGCCGCCACCACCTCCCCCTACATTACAGCTATTTCTCCTCTTGCCCCCACCACCCCCTGGAGGCCTGTGGGGCTGGTAGCCATTCCGAGGTCGAGGAGGGGCAGGGGGGCACAGTTCCGTCCCTCCCCCTCCCCGCCGCTCTTCTCCTGCCTCTGGGGGAGCGGCTCGCCCCTGGGGGTCCGACAAGCGGGCCTCCCCGAGGGACTGCGCCTGGGGGCCGCCCCCTCGTTGTTGCTGCAACTGCCCGCTCCGAGGGGTGGAAGCGGCCCCGGGGGTGTCCCTGCCAGCCTCCGAGGAGGCCGGGGCCCCTGTCGAGTGTACGCGAGGCCCCGGCCCGCGTTCGGTTCGGCCGCGGTGCTGCCCGGAGGCGGCCTCTCGGTGCGACTGCACCGTGGGGCCGCCCCCTCCGCTCGACTCATTTTTGAGCGGCGGCGGCGGGGCCGGCACCAGAAACGGCTCCTTCTCCGCCGCCATCTCGATCATTTCCTCCCCTTACTCCGTCCCAGGCGAGGATAACGAGGGGGATCAGGGGGCTTAACCCCCCTTTCCTACTCCCTGCTTCCTTCCCCCTTGCCCGAATGCGCACGCAGCTCTGCTCTTCTCGCCTAGTCTCGCGCCCAAGCGCCCTCCCCCTAAACGCGCCCTGCTCGCCCGCGAGACCAAAACAAGATGCCCGCGAGACCCGAACTCGAGGAAACTACCGCGCTTGCGCCGACCCCTTTCTCTTCCACCCCGACCACTAATCGCGAACGCGCACTGCTAAAGCGCGTTCCTCTGGCCCCAGGATGACGCATGCGCACTCCGCCAACACCCTGGCTGCGCGCGCATCGGAGTACGAACCAACTTAACGGCTCCAGGGAGTTTAAATATAATCCCCCCTGCCCCTTAAAACCCCACCACTCCGAGGTGACACCCTACTTCCCTTCGTAGTTATGTCCGTCCCTACTGATATCCTTTGTCTCAGTCGTGCGATCCCAACGACCGTAGGCGGGGGACGGGGAGCTGGTGTGAAAAGGTCTCCTTCACACAAGACCCTGTTCCTGAGGAATGAGTCTCAGCGGCCTCCGCCCGGCTCTAAACCCAACAACCTCCCTCCCCCGCCTCCTCCCTCCCCCTAGAGGGCAGCGCCTGCGCACACCCTTTCGGGCTTGCGCGGGTAGATGCAGCACGTGCTGGCAGCGACGCCCCGCCCCTCGCCCTAGGGGCGGGGACAGTTACGTCGCTTCCTCAGGTTTAGGACACGCAACGTGCGTCAGCGCGACTCGAGGAGGCGTGGCTTACTAAATACGGGGACGGGCTCATAGTGAATTATTCATAGCCTGGTTGCCTCCTTGCCACTTGAAAGGGCTTCTGAGAAAGTCTAGCAAAGGAAGGGAAGGGTCGGAGTGTAGTGACAAACTGCTTCTAAGTAAAAGGAGTTTGGCCACTTTCAAAATATTCTCTGCTCAGGTTTTCTAACTTCTTCCTGTGCTGAAATGCTGAGTCGTTCTCACTCCTCCGCTTTCTCCCAATCACGATCACCTAGGTATACCACGCCCTCTTGGCCCCCACGCCCACCGCCCTACGCTTGCGTGCTAACCAGCTGACGCCGATTCTGGTGACCGCTGTGCCCACCACCACTTCCAACTCCCACGTACTACTACTCCTCAAACTCGCGCTGTAGTTGTTCACCTTGCGTTATATAAACATATATTGATGGGAAGGAGAATTCTGCCTGTTTGGGTTCCCCCTGTCTTGGCCAAAAGGGGAACAACTGTTTGACGCACTTTCCACGAAGTGGCCCGTTTTTCAAGGTGGTGAAGTGGTCTGCAGACGCAGGTCTCAAGGGCTGAGAAGAAGGCTAAAGAATCTCAAAGTAGTAAGGTAAAGAGTGGAAAAAGGCCCTCACAGGAAGACTAGGCACTAGGGAAAGAGGAAGGAAAAGGCAGTCGAAGAAGCTGTGTTTCATGATCATGGTTATTACCTTCTAAGAGAAAGTTAAGTCGCAGAGACTCATGGGACTTGTAGTTTTACGAATTCTAAAATGGCGGAAATAGTGTACCCCTGCAGAAGCCGCCCTGCGCATGCGCAGTTGCGCACGCGCCTGTGCCTCCCAAGCACGCCGCTAGAGGGGGTGGAGCTTCCGCGCGTCCTCGCGCCTTGTCTTCGTGGCGGGAAAAGTGGGTTCACGGAGTGGATTCACGTTGTAGGGGCTTGCAGATTCGCTGCAGGTCCTCACTCCACTGCTGTCCTTTAGGTCCACCTCGCTCCGGAAGGTATTGGACTTTTCGTAGACTGCCAGTGGAATTTCTAGTCGCAGCCAGTCCTGGTACCTGTTATCTGAGGAGAAGCTTTTTCTTCAGGGCGATAAACCATTCTTACCTCTCCTTAGAAATGAACCTCAAATTCAACCCCAAACATACAAAAATAGACCATTATAAGGGCGGGCAACGACGATCTGAGAGGGAATGAGACTCTTGGTGCCTCGACAGTAGGACTAGCTGAGCAGAAGTTTCCTCCTGGTGGAATTGGCGATGTGGAAGTCAGACTAGAAACTCACTAATCTTAGGGGTACGAAGGATCTTTAAATGTGGTATTTTCTATCTCAGTTGCTGAAGGAAACTGACGAGGGAAAAGAAAGCAAAAGCATGGCTTTTCCCAGCTTCGTGACCCCGATTTTCATGATGGAGTTTGTCGCGGGTCCCAAACCTGAGAGGAAACGGGGATCAGGGATTCTGGGGGGCTGTGCTAGTTTGAAGGTGGTTCCAGCGCGAGGGGTGCGTGGAAGCGTTTTGGGCTGTAAATGGCAAGAATAGGAAAAGCGGCAGCTTTATTTCGGTGATAAGTAGCGCGTTCTCCGAATTAGGACCTTGAAACGCCCATTGATGCCATTCAGGCAATAACCATTAGATTGAGACCGTCAGAATCTTACTAAATTAATAATCTGGGCAGCAAAGGTAGCTAAACTCTACTTTCTGTTTTTAACTCCTTGTCCGTTTTGTGTGAAATCGTGCTTGCTGAAGCCCAAAAAGAGACAAAAATCAATCCTAGTTATCTAATCATCAAAAATAAGGAGTCCACATGTCATTACACATAAAAATATAAGGAATCCACATGTCATTACACATACATGCTGAAGAAAATGACATACAGGCTTCACGAAGATAGAAGGGTCTTTTTTCCCCCCCCTTTAACTGTATAAATCTTTTTTTAGATTCGTGAAGTCTATGTTAGGGGTCAGTTTTAATGGGTTTAAGTCTAAAGATTTGAGGAGCAATCTAAGGAGTGAACACACAATTTGGAAATTTGTGAACACATTTGCAATGGAGTGGGAAAGAATAATTTCTGAGACATATTTACAAGACTGAATCATTTGACTAGATCAGTTACCAAACTGGTTTAGAATCCTATCTCACTCTTAAATATCATTTAAGACTCTAGCAAGCTTTTGTTTATATAGTTTATATCCATACTAGAGGTTAAAGCTTTTGAGTTGTGGTGCTGGAGAAGAGTATTAAACATACCATGGACTACCAAGAAAGCTAACAAGGAGGAAACTCACAAGTCTGTCCAGTAGAGAGTGAAACAAAGATGCTTCTTGGAGGCCAAGATTTTGAGACTCCATCTTATACTTAGGGCATGTAGCCAGGAGGGACCAGTCTTTGGAGAAGGATATCATGTTTAGAAAGGTCAAGAACAGTGTAGGAGAGGAAGACACTGGATGAGATGGGTTAACACAGTAACTGGTAATAAGGGTAGGTGTGTCAGAGATAGTGATATTGGATTAGGATAGAGCAGGACTCAGAGCTGGTCAGAGTCTTATGATGTGTTGTTGACTACATAACAAACAATAGAGATTAGAGCTTAGAATTGAAAAATATTTAACAGTTAATTGAAAAAGAAAAAATGTTAGCATGATTAACATTTTGAGTGAAAAATATCTTCCAAAACAAAAAAAGAATTTGTGTGAAGAATGGCATTATTTTATGTTTTGGGGTGGGGTGTTTTTTTTGTTGTTGTTGTTTTGCAAATCTTTTTTCATGTCTGCTTTTCTAGAAAACAACTGGATTCTTACCTGTTTCAGTAGTCAATGTGATAATCTTGTTTTAATTGAAGAATTAAAAAAAAAATCTAGCATCCTATACAGAGATTTAATTGGAAAAGAGAGGAGACCCTCAGGCTGTCTTTGGATTACACTTTGAGAATTACTGTGATGTTGTTGTTGATGTTGTTATGTGCTGTCGAGTCGCTTGCGACTCATAGTGACCCTATGTACAACAGCCCTAAACTCTGCTCTGTCCTGTGCCAGTTGCACTGTCTCTGACACTCCCATCCCAATTATCCCAGTCACTGAATCAATCC